GCATTAGGAGAGCTACATTACTAGGCAATAGGAATTTTTCAGCTCCATTATAAGCTTATGGAACCACCAACTTATATGTGGTTTGTCATTGATAGAAACGTTGTTAGGCGGCATGTGACTGTACATCCCAGAGCACAATGCCTGACACTCAAAGCTCTCCAAGCTTCGTTGGTGTAATTTTGGCTCTATCCATCCAGACTCCTGAAAGTTTCATGAAAGGGGCTCTGCTCCCAAATCCTGTGGTAAATTAGCTGGGAGGAGTTCGCCCAATTAGGGGTTGCAAGGACTCTTACTTCCCACATCTTCACTTTCCATTCTCTCCCCCAAAGCTCTCTGAAAACCCTAAGGTTGGCAGAAAAACAGCATGGAATGTTTTCCCTACTAGAAAAAAGAATGTTCTCGTCTCTTGGAGCTTGAGATGTTTGTGTTTATTAATCTGGCCTCTTTCATATACAAGTGACAAAAAAACCCAACTCAACCTAGAATAAAACAAAAAAGAGAACATATCTAATCACACAGTTGAAAAGGCCTGGGGTGGTGCCTCACTTCAGGCATAGCTGGATCCAGGCATTCAGACAACCTCAGTCTCTCGGCTCTTCCCTCTGTGATTACTTCGTTCTCATACAGTTCTTTTCACATAGTGGCCTGAGCAGCTCCTAACTCACATCTGCCCAAGGAAGCAGGGGTTGTTTCCTAATAGTTCCTGCCAAAGTCCCAAAGCTGACTTTGACTGGACCCACTTGGGCTATATGCCCCTGCCTGAGCCAATCACCACAGCCAGACTGGCCAGACCCAGCTATATGGAGCCCCTCTGAGACAGGGTAAAGGTCATCCCCACCAGAAGGACATGAGGAAAATGAAGAAATGGGAGGAGGACTGCCTCTCTCTGAAAAATAGGGATGCACTACCACAAGAGGCATCAGGTACAGGGCTGGTACACAAGAGCTGTCCACTGGACCATCATGTAGGCATGCATTGGGTCCACCATGAAGCCACTTGGCTGCTGCACAAAAGGGAGTGACAATTCACTTCAGCCACTGGGAAATGGCCCTCTGCCTCTGCTCCCATCACCCACCCCAGGCCTGGTATTTCCCAAATCTGCATGGTGAAAGGCAACTCAGTTACAGATGATGTTACTTCCCTAACTCGAGAACTTTCTATGACTCCCTCTGGCTACTCATGTGGTTCTACCACCATTAATGATGATGGAAGCCAACACTGATGAATCCCTTAACAGGCACTCTATGGGCCTTTCTCTGTTGAATCCTCACAAACAGCATAGGTTGGTATTCTTACTGTGCCCACTTTACAGACGAGGAAACAAAAAGTCAGCAATTACTGAAAGTTAGGAATTACAGAGCTCATGAGAGCAAAATATTAGTTCCACCATTAACACTAACATCCCAGCTCCATTTGCTCATGTCTCAAAGTCCTGTACCCACCTCTGGTTGAGGAGCCAGTGGGAGGAGCTTCACAGTAAAGCGGACCTTTAGGGACCCATTCCACTTTCATAGTGGGAGGGGAGACACATAGCTTTCCATCCTCCCTGAGCCCCAATGACTACATGGGATAGGGAAATTATTCTTCCAAAACAAAATTAGAGTGAGGTCAGGAGAGGAAGCAGATGTGCTGAGTGCCACCCAGTCAGCAGTGGCTGTCCCCCACAGGTAAGCATATTTGTTTCCTATGGTTGCTATAAAAACTACCACAAACTGGGTAACCTAAAACAAGTCTCCTAGAGTTCTATAGTTCAGAAGCCTGAGATCAGTTTCACTTGGCTAAAATCAAGGTGTCAAGTAAAGGAATTCAGGAGGTTCTGAAGGGAAAGTCCGTTTTCTTGCTGTGGCCCCCTCCTCTATTTTCAAAGCATATCACTCGTCTCTGCTCAGAGCTATGGTTTGAATGTGTCCCCCAAAGTTCATGTGTTGGAAGTATAATCCTCAATGCAACGATATTGAGAGGTGGGATTTTAAGAGGTGATTAGGTTAAGGGATCTGCCCTGATGAATGGAGTGATGGTATTATCTCAGGAGTGAGTTAGTTATAGTGGGAGTGGGTTCCTCATAAACGGATAAGCTCAGCCCCCTTCTTCTCTAGCCCAATTAACATCTTCCACTATGGGATGACACAGAAAACAAGGCCCTCATCAAATGTGGGCCCTTCAACCTTGGACTTCCCAGCCTTCAGAAACTTTAAGAAATAAATCTGTTCTTTATGATTACCCAGTCTCAGGTATTCTATTACAGTAACACAAAATGGATGAAGATACTCAGTCAGTCATATCACCATTTCCTGTGACTCCTCCTATGGCCCTCTTAAAAGTATACTGTGAGCTGGGCATGGTGGTTTATGCCTGTAATCCCAGCACTTTGAGAGGCAGAGGTGAGAGGATTGCCTGAGTCCAGGGGTTTGAGACCAGCCTGGGCAACTTGACAAGACCTCATCTCTACAATAAATCAATAAATTAGCCAAGCATGGTGGCACACACCTATAATTCCAGCTACTTGGGAGGCTAAAGTGGAAGGATTGCCTGAGCCCAGCGGGCAGAGTCTGCAGTGGCTGTGAGCGTGCCACTGCACTCCAGCCTGGGCAACAGAGTGAGACAAAAACAAAACAAACAAAACACTGTGAGGGGACATTGGGCTCACAGGATAAGAAAGGATAATCTCTCATCTTGAGAAGTTTACTTAATCACATGTGCAAAGTCATTTTTGCCATGTAGAGAAACATATTCATAGGTTCTGGGGATTAGGATGAGGACACTTTTGGGGCTATTATTCAGCCAACCATGATAGATATAAACAGAGGGAGCCAATACAAAATGTACTGGAAACAGAAGAGTTGGCTAACTCTGCCCCAAGTGGGAAAAATGCCCTAGGAAACCACAGACTCCACATTAAATATTCAAATGAGCTAAAACCATCTAACTTGGCAATTTCAGCCTCATTCCTTTATACATGGAAACCACCTAAATCTCCATCTAGCCCCCTGCGCCAGGCCAGTCAAGCCTCAGAATGCTCCTCTACCCTTTTAATGGAAATTGCCAACCACCATCCCCATTGCCTGGGAAATGACTGTGTGTCCTTGACCCTGCCATTGCTGAATCACCAGTGGCATCTGAACCACAGCACTCAATTCATGGCATGGACAGTAAGCTACAATGTGGCCTAGCATCAACCAGGCAAAGTGACAAAAGAAGGAGACTCAGTAGGTCACAAAGAGATAAGAAGAGAGTCATTAGAACTGTCTGCATTTGGAAGGCTCCCAAGTCCAGCCATCCGTAACCCTGAAACAAATCCCCTCTTACTTGACGTAACTTGAGTGAACTTCTGTTCCTTGCCACCATTATTTTACAACTTTCACAGATCATGGGCTGTCCTTGCAGTCAGCCTACAGAGACTGAACCCACATGATACGCAGACAGAAGTGTTCGCTCCTTTTGGCAGTTCACTGTTCATAATAATTGACACACTAACATTCAAGATTTAGACACCAGTCTCTTATGAGTTATGTCAATGTGGGTCAACATCCCTGAGTCTGACTGACTATGCAGTAAAGAATGCAGAAACATTAGTTTTAGAATCAGAAGGACCTAAGTTGGATCCCAGCTATGCCAGGTACCAACTGTGTGATGTTGGAAGTTATCTTCCTCCTCTAAACCTGGGTTCCTCACCTGTAACAAAGGTAGTTGGAAGACCCTAGCTCATAGAATCACCATGAGGAAAGACCAGCCAAGGGTAACACTTTGCACAGGGCCTCCCTGATCATTATTGGGTCAACACGACATAACCACATTATCTCTACTTCCAAAATCCAAATAGCTCTGAAAAACACATCATCCAGCTGGGCTCACCATTCAGCCTGTTGTACTCAGCCTGTAATCCCACGCCTTGGGAGGCTGAGGTGAGTGGATTGCCTGAGCCCATGGGTTCGAGACCCGCCTAGGCAACTTGGTGAGACCTCATCTCTACAATAAATCAAAAATTAGCAGGCATGGTAGCATCTGTAGTTCCAGTTACTTGGAAAGCTGAGGCAGAAGGATCGCTGGAGCACAGCAGGTCGAGGCTGCGGTGGCCGGGAGTGGTCACTGCACTCCAGTCTGGGCGACAGAGTGAGACTCCAACTCAAAAAAAAAAGAAAAGAAAAACAAGTCATCCATAACTCATTTGGCAGAAAACACTGACACGAACTGATATGCAGTGACTTATAATTTTTCTCTATCCCTCCTGTTGTGAATATTTGCTACAGAAATATTAATGCATTTGATCATAGGACCCCCTGGGGTGCCACACATATACACAGTAGATGTGCCCTATCACCTTCCTAAAACTGGAAAACTGAGTTTCACAACTTATCTAGCCCCAAGGTTTCAAGGACTGCAGGCCTGTTATCATTACAAGGATGAGAATGAGAATGTAAAACTGGCCTGTTGTGCACCAAGGTATTTGTCATTCTCATGAGAACTTCAGCAGCTGGCCAGCCAATCTCTCCAAACTCCACCCCAGCCTTGCTATGTTTCTTTCCTGTTACTTTCCAAGAGGCCTTAGAACTTGTATTTAGCTCTCGCAGGCTGAGACCAGAGTGACATTCTGAGAAACGTGCCTGGTGCCCACCAAGGTGGACCTCCACAGGCACACAACAACTTTAAACATCATAAAAAAAGGATTCAAGCCAGGCTCGGTGGCTCAGACTGTAATCCCACGGCTTGGGAGGCTGAGGTGAGTGGATTGCCTGAGCCCGTGGGTTTGAGACCCGCCTGAGCAACTTGGTGAGACTTCATCTCTACAATAAATCAAAAAATTAGCCGGGTGTGGTAGCGTGCGCCTGTAACTCCAGCTACTTGGAAGGCTGAGGCGGAAGGATCACTGGAGCCCAGCAGGTCGAGGCTGCGGTGGCCGGGAGCGGCCACTGCACTCCAGTCTGGGCGACAGAGTGAGACTCCAACTCAAAAAAAAAAAGGCATTCAACTAAAGAACTGATTATCAAACATAAGCACAAAGCCCAAGTTCCATCAGGTTTTTAATTGTACATCAATGATTGTAGAAAAGCAATTATTCCCATAATTAAAATACCAACTATAAAAAACAGACTTAAAAGAAAAGAAAGATGACAGCAGAGTGAAAGAAGGTACATTTCTTTCATGTCCAAACCACAGTGTTCACAACACAGCAGCACACACAGCTGGACGCTTTGTGTTCTCGGCATCCTCTGCTTCCCCTTCACGGGGTCGCTTTCGACTAGTGGAAGGCTAGAAATAAAGGAAAATGGAGAAATGTTCAAAAGAAAAGCACTGGCTTCTTTAACACTATCCAAGTTCCCCAGTATGTTTCCAGTATAATCGGGGACATTTCATGTGAAACTTCTAGTACCAAAATTTATTAGTTGTCAATGATTGACATGTTTATCTAATTGATATTTCTCTCCCTTGTGGCTTCTCACCACTGAATGATGTATATTGAGAGCAAGCAGCATAACCAGCCTTCTCTTGATCATCTCTTCCTAAATAATCAAGTTTCAAAGGACTAGAATATCTCTTGCTTGGAGCCCCAAGTCTTGCTTGTTTTTGTGGGAAGACAATCTTTTTTGTGTCTTATTTGTTTTGCCTTTAAATAATTAGGAGGAAGCAGTGGAGAAAGGGAGAGATATCATTCACCAAAAGAAAGGAAGACAGGAATGAACAGATATCAACTTATACTTACAAAGAACTTTGGAAGAATACAATAATAATCAGGAAATCAACTGCTCATCCCAATTTAATTTTTCCAAAAAATTTAAATTTAAGCCTCTAAGAGAGTCTTCTGAACTTGCCTTGCAGACCTTTTAGATGACAATCCTTCACTGTGCTTATCCAACATATTAATTATCCCCTGCATTATTAAATCTTCTAAAGGTGCTAAAGCAGATCAAGTTAAACAAAGTGCCTACTACATTATACCTAAAAAAATACATTAAGCAATTACTACTCAGTAGAATCTTCAAACTCATCATTCTTGCTCATCAGCTCTTTAAACCTAGCTCTTTAATGACCATAAGGAATACTAATACCTGGGCTGGAAACTGGGTTAGAGCCATAGATTTATTTTCCTCAGACAGCAGATCCTGAAATTTTTTCTTCATGTCTTCATCCTGCAAGGAAATTAAATCCATAAGTAGGCTGTGTCAGAAGGAAAGAAAGCTCCTAGAATCCTAGGGCTGACCCCCCTAAAAAGAGAAAAGCAAACAAAGACATCCAGTCTGTCCACCAAGAATCATCTCCTTGCTCAAGCTGCCACATCACAGGGACTATCTGTTGCTCCCCTCTGTTTTCCCAGAATAGTCTAATCAGGAGTCAATGCTCCATCAGTACTGTTTGAATCTAACCCATGGCCTAAAGGCTCTCAGTGAGTCAGAGAATCACAGACCCTAGCAGTCAGAAGATTTTCAGAGTCGCCCACAGTGGCTCAAGCCTGTAATCCCAGCACTTTGGGAGGCTAAGGTAGTAGGACTGCTTGAGACCAGGAGTTCAGGACAAATCTGGGCAACATAGCAAGACTACAAAAAATTTAAAATTAGCAAGTGTGGTGGCAGGTGCCTGTAGTCCCAGCTACTCAGGTGGCTGAGGTAGGAGGATTGCTTGAAGCCAGGAGTTCAAGGCTGCAGTCAACTATGATCATGCCACCGCACTCCAGCCTGGGCAATAGAGCAAGATCCTGTCTTTAAAAAAAAAAAAAAAAAACTTTCAGAACCAGCATCCCAGATCTCAGAAAGATAATAAGAGGTCAGAAGCCAGAGCTGGGCTCGGTGGCTCAGCCTGTAATCCCGCGCTTTGGGAGGCTGAGGAGTGGATTGCCTGAGCCCGTGGGTTCGAGACCCACCTGGGAAACTTGGTGAGACCTCATCTCTACAATAAATTTAAAAATTAGCCAGGCATGGTAGCGCGCACCTGTGGTTCCAGCTAGTTGGAAGGCTGAGGCGGAAGGATCGCTGGCGCCCAGCAGGTTGAGGCTGCGGTGGCCGGGAGCATGCCACTGCACTTCAGTCTGGGTAACAAAGTGAGACTCCAACTCAAAAAAAAAGAAGCTAGACTCCCTGAATCTTTCCAGGAAACACCCCACCCCACCCCACTGCCACAGCAACACCCTCTTGCCAACAATGAGGCCAGTTATCCAGGCTGTTTAAACAACCAACCCAGCATCCTAGGAAAATCCACCCAGCAGATCCTATTCAAGTTGCCAGAAAAACTTCAAGTCCACAATATCCCAGCACTCAGATCTTATAAGAAAAGAAGATAATGAACAGAACATAGCGTCACAGGTGTTTCATGCTGCAGGAGGGGAAAGTGGGAGGGCACAGAGAACTCCTACCCAGATGTATATGAGGGTAGCCCCCACCTTCCTAGATGCTCACTTCTGCATTTGGGAGTCCTGAGTGGTGGCCTGGTACAGCTGTCCTCTCCTTAGAAAGGCGAAAGAACTATCTATGACTAGGAATATGGGCCAGCTCAGCCACTCACAAGTGGTGTGTGCAGAACACAGACCCAGAGCTGTCTGATTCCAAAGTCTCATGTACTTTCCCGCCCAACTCTACCCCCTCCTCCCACTGAGCCAAGTATACCATAGTGGGCAAAGGGAAAGAACACATGAGCAAGGCCCCCAACATTCAGCCATTTGATGGATATAGAAATTTTACAGTCCTAAAGGCCTAATAACAGGAGAGTTACAGTGTAGCTCCCCACTGCCATTTTGATGGCACCACGCTCATGGATTTCACTCTATACTCTCTTATGGCCTTAGGATCTCACTTATGTGCTGTCACTCTCAAAAATCCATCTCTTATTTCCCCCATACCTGCTCATGCCACACCCTCTACCAGGAATGTCTTCCTTGCCTTCCTACCAATCCACCTTACCCACCGTCCTCATTTCTTCAGTGAACAAATATTTCCTGAGCATCCTTTGATGACAGGAACTCTAACAGGCACAGAGCCTCCATATCAGAGGAATTCAATATTCAACAAATGTTTGGAAATGAGTCTGGGTGCAGGGGCTTATGCCTACAATCCCAGCGCTTTGGGAGGCCAAGGTGGGAGAACTGCCTGAGCCCAGGAGTTCCAGACCAGCCTAGCAATATAGCAAGGCCTTATCTCTACCAAAAAAAAAAAAAAAAGAGCCAGGTGTGGGGCATGCATCTGTAGTCCCAGCTACTCAGGAGGCTGGGGCAAAAGGATCACCTCGGCACAAGAGATCAAGGCTGCAGTGAGCCATGATGGTGATGATGGTGCCACTGCACCTCCAGCCTGGGTGACAGAGTGAGACCCTGACTTTTCAAAAAACAAAAACAAATGTTTGAAAATGCTAAGCCATTCATCTCCACATTACTGCCTGGCCATTAAGCCTTAAGACATTCTTCACACTGGTTGAAGACACGGGTACCCAAGGCCCTGTGGACAGTGGCCCTGTCTCCTCCTGGTTTAGAACCATACTCTGCACCTACCCCTATTACCCCATGTCCTGCACTGCTCTGTAATGACCATGTTCAAGGTTGGCCCTGGCCCAGTGGTCAACTTCCCAAGGCAAGGCCATATCTTACTCTTTTATGTATCCACAATACCTAACACATCTTGACACATGAGCTCATTAACAGTGTTTCAAAGAAACAAAGTGCACAAACAAATGAAACCACGATGAAATGCCCTTCACGTGGTATTTCAGTGAGGCCAGAGTGACCATAGCCTATATAGACCTATATTTAAAACAAGTCATCACCAGGTGTGGTGGTCTGCCTATAATCCCAGCACTTTGGGAAGCAGAGGCAAGAGGATTGCCTGAGGCCAGGGGTTCGAGACCAGCCTGGGCAACTTGGCAAGACCTCGTCTTTACAATATATCAAAAAATTAGCTGGATGTGGTGGCATGCACCTGTAGTTCCAGCTACTCAGGAGGCTGAGGTGGAAGGATCGCCTGACCCCAGCATGTTGAAGCTGCAGTGGCCGTGAGCATACCACTGCACTCCAGCCTGGGCAACAAAGTGAGACTCCAAATTTAAAAAATAAAATAAAACAAGTCATCAATTAGGAATAATATGAAAAAAGAACTCACTGTTACCATAGGTAGCAATGTTTATCTATAAATACCCTTCCTTTGAGATGATTACAGTCTATTCAAAAATATGAAATTAGAATATCCCCTAAAGGCAAACAAGAGAAACACCCCTCTTTCAGATAGCAAACATGAAGCAGGAAGTAGGTATTAAGGGATGCTCCCCAAACTGGGCACTCTGTTAATGACAAAAGAGAACCCACATTCCCAATGCTCAGTCTAGGGACAGACCCACAAAACCACTTGGTGTCTTCAAAAACACTAAAGTTTCCCAAAATAAAACCTAAACTATCAATAACAGATGTTTTAAATGGGCAATCTATACCCTGGTCTTCATTCAATGTTCGCTCCACCTTTTGCTATAAAAACAAAATGTGGACAAAAGAATATTCAAGTGAGAACTCATGGCAGACTTGAACTTCACCTTTTCCTTGGTTGATAATAAGAGTTTCCTTTTGAGACAAAGAAGTACAAGAAAAATAGGCTATGCTTGCTCATAAATTTCAGGCAGATGTAAACTCTGTTCCCAGGCCTAACTGGCCAGCCCCATTTTTTTCAAAACTAACACAGCTTCTCTACCTCTGCATTTACACCCGAGAGTTTTCCTATTAAGGGAACCAAAAGCCATGTTTCTCTTTTTCATCAAAATTAAATCCCCACATGCAAAGGCACCCTTTGTTTCCAAACTCCTTTTCTCCAGGGTCCTGCTGTTTCAAATCTGTGTGGCATATTAAAAACTAAATCATGTGACAGATTTCTTCTGGGGGGACTGCTGTTTCCAGGGCAGCATCCAAAACGCATATCTCTGCCTTTTTTTTTTTTTTTTTTTAAGGATTTCTTGTCCTCAACCTGAGCAGGCCTGAGCAAAACTGTTAGGTGTGGAGGGTTGGAACAAAGAATGGGGACAGTTTTCCCAGAGTCCCTGAAGTCCAGAGCTGAGGCTGGACTGTCCAAAGAATACCTGAATCAGGAATCTCCAGAACAGCCTCTAGCTCACTCAAGTTACCTAGTGATGTCCCCCATGCCCATAGGAAAAAGAAAGACCAAAAGAGAGTTCATAAAAAGGCACATGACCATCCTGGAGGGAACTGCACTTAACAGAAGACCAGACAGTCACCAGAAAGCCTGCCCCATGCTGTAGGCTAATTCCAAAACTAAAAAATTACCCAGCAAAGCCACAGATGACTTCCAACACTGGCAGTTTCAAATGCGGCATAATCTAATGGAATTCGCAACCCCCAGCAGGAACACAGAGGCAATGTAGACCTGAAAGGTGCAGGTGACAGCCTGCCCAAGGGCATGCTTACTCACCATGAACAAGAAGTAGGACCCTTTATACCCAAACACTTGTGTTTGAGAAATCGCTGGATTCTCCCTAGGGAGCTGTCCTCCTCCACTTCCCCCAGCATTCACATTTAAGATTGAAGATGGCACTGGGCACAGTGGCTAAAGCCTATAATCCCAGCACTTTGGGAGGCAAGGCGAGAGGATTGCCTGGGCCTGTGGGTTCGAGACCAGCATGGGCAACATGGTGAGACCTTGTCTTTATAACAAATCAAAAAATTAGCCAGGTGTGGTAGCATGCGCCTGTAGTTCTGGCTACTTGGAAGGCTAAGGCGGAAGGATCGCCTGAGTTCAGCAGGTCGACACTGAGATGGCCATAAGCATGCCACTGCACTCCAGCATGGGCGACAGAATGAGACTACAACTCAAAAAAAAAAAAAAAGATTGGAGATGGCTGGAATGCAGATCACTCCACCTTTAGGAGTTAGGGGCACATGACTGAGGATTGAACAAGCTCTCAAAGGAACACAGGCCAAATGACAGACACGGGGCAGCCAAGTGGAACCACATCAGGACAGTATCCCCAGGAGCCACGAATGATGTCAAAATAGTTATAACTCTCCTAGCCCTCCACGCTCCCACATACCCTCATATACCTAACACTCAATCTAAAGCAATTATAATAAATAGACCCAACAAAGCAAATATGTTTCTGTCCTCTGCCTCATCACTCTCAGGCAGTAGGGCCACAAATATTTTATGCTAGTAGGCACTGCCCCACACCCACCTGAAGCCACGGGTGCCTTAAGGCTTCTTCTGTTGTAAAACGTGCCTTTGGATCCACTACCAACAACTTCTTGACAAGATCTAGAGCTAAAGCAACAAGATAATTGGGCAAATCAGCAAAATGGATAAATATATTACACTATGCCTGATTACAGGCCACCATCCAGAAAGAGGAGAGAGAGTCTGAGATGATCAGTGAGTCAGCAGACATAGTGGACAGGGCCTTCTTACTCTCTCTATTCAGAGTAGTCAGAGAATACCAGGAATGATAATGGCTACCCATCTTTCCCTGCTAACACATCACAATCCCTGTTCCCCCTTTGGTTGCCAGACTCAAGTTCAAACTAATTAAAACTGAACTTTCACCCAGTTCTAAAATACTTAGGATGCATAGAAAATGGTCCCTGAGACCCATGAATTGATGATGAGAGCTCCTCAGCCAGAGAGGCTGCCTAAAACTACACACTTGTCTAAAATAAAATTTGACTACTCCAGTAAGAAACAACTGCAACCTGGCTTGTACACTGCAATATTAGTCTTTAAATATTCTGACATTTAATATAATCACCTATGTGTCATTAATTGACATTTAATTTTTTGACTTTTTCTTCCGAGAACTAAAAGTTGTACTTTTAAATTATAAAACACAAGGTAACTAATGATATTTAGCTTTTACATGCTTACTCAAAAAAACCCTTATAACTAAAAAGTTGCTTATTGTACACTTAAATAGGTACCAGGTAGTTCTATATATTATACTCAACCTGCACAAAAACTGTTTAAGGTAGAAACTATTGAAGCCCTTTTTACAAATAAAGAAAATGGAAGCCGGGCTCGGTGGATCAGCCTGTAATCCCGCGCCTTGGGAGGCTGAGGTGAGTGGATTGCCTGAGTTGGCAGGTTTGAGACCCACCTGAGCAACTTGGTGAGACCTCATCTCTACAATAAATTTAAAAATTAGCCGGGTGTGGTAGCACGCACCTGTAGTTCCAGCTACTTGGAAGGCTGAGGAGGAAGGATCGCTGGAGCCCAGCAGGACGAGGCTGCGGTGGCCGGGACCAGCCACTGCACTCCAGTCTGGGCGACAGAGTGAGACTCCAACTCAAAAAAATGTTGCTTATTGTACACTTAAATAGGTACCAGGTAGTTCTATATATTATACTCAACCCCCACAAAAACTGTTTCAGGTAGAAACTATTGAAGACCCTTTTACAAATAAAGAAAATGGAAGCCGGGCTCGGTGGCTCAGCCTGTAATCCCCCACTTTGGGAGGCTGAGGAGTGAATTGCCTAAGCCCGTGGGTTCGAGACCCGCCTGGGCAACCTGGCGAGACCTCATCTCTACAATAAATCAAAAAATTAGCCAGGCGTGGTAGCACACGCCTGTAGTTCCAACTACTCGGAAGGCTGAGGCGGAAGGATCACCGGAGCCCAGCAGGTAGAGGCTGTGGTGGCTGGGAGCAGCCACTGCACCCCAGTCTGGGCGACAGAGTAAGACTCCAACTCAAAAAAAAGAAAGAAAGAAAGAAAATGGAGACTTCGGTTAAATAACTTGCCTAAGGTCACACATCTAAGAGGTAGCAGACCTAGGACTTGAGTGCCTGCACTTAATAACTTCCTCTACCTCTCAAATGGCACGAAACTAACAATAGAAAATAAGAACAGAATTGACAGGAGAAAACATCACGGAATTTAGAAAGAAACTCCCACTACAGCACATACACATTTTAGCAAACCACAAATTCTTTTAACTCTTTCATAGTCATACCCTTCTCTGATACCTCTGCCCAGACTTCAGGAATGAAGTTGTACTTTCCACTTGTGATCTGATCCTTCAGTGACACTTGAGTCTTATGTTCAGAGAAAGGTGGATACCCACTAAGGCTTAATATTGGTAGAAAGAGAAAGGAAAAGAAATCAAGTGGTATTCTCAGTGACATTTGGATGTTTTATTTTTAAACATAATGAAAAAATCACATTTCTCTTTAAATCAGTGGTCAAAAAGTGACTTAAATTAAGCACCAGCTCTCTACCTGCACATGTTTATGATTTCATCTAATCATCTACAACCAGACTGAACCAGCAAAAACTTCTCTTACCAGATAAAAAGAATAACTCCTAAACTCCAGCAGTCCACAGCACGGTTATACCCAGAAGTCCCGATGGAAGCAAGAACCTCAGGAGCCAAGTAAGTGGGGGTACCACATAAGGTTCTCATGAGAGAGGTCTCCCCCAAAATTTTAGAATGCCCGAAATCAGTAATCTAAAATTAAGGACAAAAGGGAATAATGTTTAATAATGGCATAAAATAAAAAGATTAACATAGTCGGCCAGTCTGAAAAAGCATGCAGACTAGATCAGTTTCTATTATACAAGTCATACCTGCTGTTAATCTGGAATCTACAAATTCATGTCTTTGAAAGTTACGGTACTTAATTTTGCTTACATTAAAATTCCTGAGCTTAGAAACCTCAAGACTGAGGCTTTCCAACTTAACCTATGTTATCTGCAATCTTATAAAAAATGTATAACCTTTATCACAGACATTTTAAGGTTCTAATTAGTCTTACATGGTTCTTCTTAAACCCCAGTGTCTCAAACTTGGCTGCAGCATGGAATACCTGGGGAGCTTGGAAATAAACACATGTGCTGGGCTGAGCCTGTAATCCCGCGCCTTTGGGAAGCTGAAGTGAGTGGATTGCCTGAGCCTGCGGGTTCGAGATCCGCCTGGGCAACATGGCGAGACCTCATCTCTACAATAAAGCAAAAACTAGCTGGGCGTGGTAGCGCGCGCCTGTAGTTCCAGGTACTTGGAAGGCTGAGGAGGAAGGATCGCTGGAGCCCAGCAGGATGAGGCTGCGGTGGCCGGGAGCAGCCACGGCACTCCAGTCTGGGCGACTGAGTGAGACTCCAACACACACACACACACACACACACACACACACACACACACACAAAGCCGGGCTCGGTGGCTCAGCCTGTAATCCCGCGCCTTTGGGAGGCTGAGGTGAGTGGATTGCCTGAGCCCGCAGGTTCGTGACCCACCTGGGCAGCGAGACCTCATCTCTACAATAAATCAAAAAATCAGCTGGGCGTGGTAGCGCATGCCTGTAATTCCAGCTACTTGGAAGGCTGAGGCGGAAGGATCGCTGGATACCAGCAGGTGGAGGCTACGCGGTGGCCGGGAGCAGCCACTGCACTCCAGTCTGGGTGACAGGTGAGACTCCAACTCAAAAAAAGAAAGAAAGAAAGAAACACATGTAGGTGCCACCCTTAGCCTCTGAGGTACAGCTTGGGGACCATAATTCTTTTTTTCTTTTCTTTTCTTTTTTTTTTTTTTTTTTAAGTAGGGTTCTCGCTCTGTCACCCAGACTGAAGTCCAGTAGCATGATCAGAGCTCACTGCAGCCTGGACCTCCTGGGCTCAGGTGATCCTTCTACCTCAGCTTCCCGAATACCTGGGACTACAGGCATGTACCACCAGGTCTGGCTAATTTTTTTCACAGAGACAGGGTCTCACTATGTGGCCAAGACTGGTTTTGAACTCCTGGGCTCAAAGAATCCTCCCACCTCGGCCTCCCAAAGTGCTAGGATTACAAGCGTGAGCCACTGCACCCAACTCTAATAGGAGATTTTAAAATGAAGCCAGGCTTAAGAAACAGGGAATGGCAGAGTATGTGATTTCTTGTGCATTTAGACCCTCCTTTCTTCCTCTGAGCACAAAAGTGACTTGCACACAATGGAGCTCAAGACAAGTTTCTCAACAGAAATCTACCGGACTGGCCACATACAGAACATAAATTTCTTACCTTTATAAGACAGTCCTCTTCTTGAGATGATAGTAAAACATTCTCTGGCTTTAAATCCCGATGTATAATGCCATTTTCATGAAGGTACTACACAGAAAGAGGGGCAAGATCCTCAGATTTATGCAGCAAGCACACAAATACAGTCAAAGCTATCAACACATACATATCATAGCTGAGTGAAACGGTAGCCATGTTACACACAACCATATTCCCCCAAATCATAGAAAACTGATGGGGCAAAAGAGTTAGTGTTTCTAAATTTATTTTTATAAAAAAAATTATTTTTAAACATCTTTAAAAAGCAGAAAAATGAGAAAAGCCAACTTAAGATAATAGACCTTTCATTTCACTTTAATATACTAAATAACCCTTCACAAGTTGATAGAGAGATGTTAATTTCAATAAAAGTTCAAAGGGGTGAATACAAAATATTCTGAGAGCATACCAACATAAAAGCAAACATAAAAATTCCACCAAGGCCAAGCACGTGGCTCACGCCTGTAATCCCAGCACTTTGTGAGGTCATTGTAAGAGGATTGCCCATGGGCTCAAGACCAGCCTGGGCAACTTGGTAAGACCTCATCTCTATAATAAATCAAAAAATTAGCCAGGCGTGGTGGCGTGTACCTGTAGTTCCAGCTACTTGGAAGGTTGAGACAGAAGGATCACCTGAGCCCAGCAGGTCGAGGCTGTGGTGGCCATGAGCATGCCACTGCACTTCAGCCTGGACAACAGAGTGAGACTCCAACTCATAAAAAAAAAAAAACCCACCAAAATGATATATTTGGTTATTCAAGCCCTGAGAATATATATTTTTTTGAGTTGGAGTCTCACTCTGTCACCCAGGCTAGAGTGCAGTGGCACACTCAAGATCACCCCACATCGACCTGCTGGGCTCCGGCAATCCTTTCGCCTCAGTCTTCCAAGTAGCCAGAATTATAGGCATGCACTACCATGCCTGGCTAATTTTTGATTTATTGTAAAGACGAGGTCTCACAAGTTGCCCAGGCTGATCTAGAACCTGTGGGCTCAGGCAATCCACTCACCTTGGCCTCCCAAAGTGCTGGGATTATAGGCTGAGTCACCAAGCCTGTTCCCTGAGAATATTTTTAAAGGAAATCTGTAACAATATATATTTGTAAATTATCTGTTTATATGCCCAAAGTTAACCTATTTCTTAATGGAAATAGTCTTTGAAAGCTCTGATATCTGAAACAGCATACAAAAACAAACACAAAGAAACATCAACATTCTATGCCATGTTGTTTTTTTGTTTTTGTTTTTTGAGACAGTATCTCACTCTGTCATCCAAGCTCACTGCAACTTTGAGACCTTAAAATTATCAACCTAACAAATAGCTGGGATTACAGACATGAAACCACACTCAGCCCATATTTCTTTAGGAAACAAAAAGTCCGCACATCCATAGACTATACAAGATTCATCTTAATATTCTTGATCACTAAATATAACATAAGTGAGAAAATAGACCAGTAAGAGTACTCCAAGGAGGGCAAATACAGTTAGGCCAACCACAAAAAAATCATTTGCAATCCTCACTCAATATAAGAACTATTCTCAGTCGCTGCATGGAGTGGGTTTTCAAGAGAAGAAACCCTGACAGGGACTGGCTGCAACCAAATTTGGTGTGGGAAATAGTGGTGTTCCTCAAAGTCAAGTGCTGCCAGCTATTCTTCCATCCAGCACTTTCACTGAATAGAGAAGGCTGCACACTCGCCCCACTAGCCTGCCCACCTACATGCTGCAGTTTAACAGGAAGCCACATCTAAAGGGAACACCTAGTACTGAGCCATCGAAGAGCAACCCATCAGTCACAACCACCCCAACCTACCAGCCTTGTCCTCATACCTGTACAGCTCCTACTCTGAGTTAAGAAGGATTTCTACAAGGATCAGGCAGAACCTCCAGAAATACCTCCAAGCCAAAGAGAGGTGACATAGGACCATGTGTTTATTTCTTTAATTCCCTTTTTTCTATTCACAGAAAGAGCTTTGGCAACTGAGTAAAGGAGAGGATGTTTTTGCAAGAACAGGACAATAAACACACATTATCTTCTGAGATTTGATCCAGTCTCTTGGTTTCTGCTTAACTTGGAGCAATTTACCTAAAAGAAAAAAAGGCTTCCCCTACCTGTACAGCCAAGAGCATCTGGTAAAAGTAGAGTTTGCAGGTAGCTTCTTTCAGGCGTTTATTTCCCACTACCTTGTCAAATAGCTCTCCTCCTTCCATCCTGAAACAACACACAGACCAAGCAGGGGGTTCATTCCTGGAGGGAAACTCACTTGGACAGAAGATAATAACATAAACTCATTAAGACGAGCAAACAGTTGCCATATTTAGTCACTCTTGACTCCCATTTTTCAAGATAATGAGGTAATAAGCCTCATCCATAATCAGATGTCCCAGATGGAAACTAAGGAACAAGATGAAAGGAGTAGGTATTAGAAACCCTTGGAGAACTTTTAAAAGTCTGATTCAGTAGATTGTAGGTGAGGCCCACGAATTTGCATGTTTATCACATACCCCAGGTGGTTCTGAGACTGATGTATAAGAGCAAATAGGAGTTTACAATTAGACAACTGGGTTCTGAACCCCAACTCCCCCACTCCCCAGCTATGGGACTTTGGGCAAGCTATTTAGACTCTTTGAGCTTGTTTCTACCACTTGAAAAATGAGGATACCACCTACTTGATGGTTGTTGTAAAAATTAAGAGATAACTGATGTAGCACTTGGCACAAGTACTTGGCAAGATTATTCAATTATTCTATGATTCAGAGGAATTTTCTTTAAAGTGGGGCTAAAACTAGTAACCCATCTGTAACTTATAGGTAGTCTGTCTGACTGTGGTAAAGAGTCAACTCATGTAAACTGCTTATAGCAGTACTTGGATTATAGTCAGTACTTAGTAAATATCAGCTACTGTTATCACATGATTATTATCATCACTTTTATTGAACAGTGTTAACTGGATCTAGTCAGGTAAGTCTCTCCTATTTGACAGCAACAGTTGTTTTCTTAAAATCCACAAGGGCCATCCAGTCTCTCCTAATGCTCTGACTGAGGCTGTTTACCATGTAGTCTTGATGGTCAACCTACAAAGTCACTGTTTGCCAGCCAAGAGCAAAGCAATCCCTGCCTGGCATAACTGCCGCTCTCAGAAACACTTCATATTTATGCAGGAATGGACATCAAGACAGGCATTTTCCAGGAATCAGAAAGGAAATTATTCCAATCACACTGAATAACACAGGACATTGTGGCCATCGAAGTAAACTAGCAAGACACTAAAAGATACTCAGGTGCCATCATGCAACCTGGTTTCATGATCCTGAAAAGAAAGGTTCACCCAGGTAGATATTTCAGAGTATAGTCGTCTCTGGATATCCATGGGGGATTAGTTTCAGGACTCCCCTAAGATATAAAACGATGCAGTATTTGCATATAACCAATGAGCATTTTCCCATATACCTTAAATCATCTGTAAATTATAATGTAAATGCTATGTAAATCATTGTTTAGAAATAAATAAGCCAGGCGCAGTGGCTCATGCCTGTAACCCCAGTACTTTGGGAGGCTGAGGCGAGAGGACTGCCTGAGCCTGCGGGTTCGAGACCAGCCTGAGCAACATGGCAAGACCTCGTCACTACATAAATCAAAAAAATCAGCTGGGCATGGTGATGCCCACCTGTAGTTCCAGCTACTTGGAAGGATGAGGCAGAAGGAACACCTGAATCCAGCAGACTGAGGCTGTGGTGTCCATGAGCATGCACTGCACTCCAGCCTGGGCAACAGAGTGAGACTCCAAAAAAAAAAAAAAGAATAAGAAGAAAAAAAGCGTGTATCTGTTCCACAAAGATGCAACCATCCATTTTATTTTTCTGAGTATTTTCAATCCAAAGTTGGTTGATTCCATGGATACTAAACCCACGGATACAGAGGGCCAACTATAATAATGCTGACCAGTGGTGAGTTCCTACATGTGCCAGGTGCTCTGCTGAGGGCTTTCTACCCCTCATAGCATTTAATTCTTACAAGAACTCTGCTTGTGGGGGTATCACTATTATCCCCATTTGACATTAGGAAAATGAGACTCAGAGAGGTGAAGTAAACTCACCCATGGGTGGTCAGCCAGTCATCTCCAGAGTGGAGTTTCAAACACAGGCCACAGATCCAGGCCCCGGAATCCCATACCACCTGCCTTTGGAAACACTGGAGGGTTTTTAGAATTGATTTTAACCCCCTACACACATACTTTGTGGGTCTTACCACCACATACATACACTGAGGTACCCCAGGAAAAGAAAGGCAAGCCTATATTAGATTCTTTGGTGGCTTAAAAGCATTTAAATGGGAACATAAATTTTTTAAAAATTTACTACTTACAATTCCAAAACAATATAATAATCTTCTGCATCAAAAAAGTTTTTAATCTTGATGATGCAAGGCTAAAAAGAGGGGAGAAAAAAAAGAAAAATAATGAGAAACTCTCAAGAGGAAAACCACAAGAGTTTGGAACATCTTCCCAGAGGGTCGGGGAGGTCAAGAGCAGGTGTTTGACCCCTGCCTTGGGAGGCTTTGAAACTCAAGCAGAGAAGGCAGAATAGAATATAGCCAACTCCTCATAAGGACATGCCAGAAACCATTATGTTGCTGAGAGACTAGTTCATATTTCACACCTATGTATGTCACCTAGAATGAAGGCCTAGTCTCTTCCCAGCAGAGGACTCAAGGACAGCCTAAGGAACTCGGAAGAAGCCTGACAAGTAGCATGAACAAAAGAAGTGGGCCAGGTGGAAAACCAGCCATCCTGCCCAACTGCAAGGGTTATTTAGCACCAAGCAGCTGGAACCTCAGGGGAACTGGGACCTATGTGTCAGGGGAACTGGGCCCTATGTGACAGGATCCTACCATTTTTCAAGGGAAGAGGGAAAGTCTAATTTCATAGGCACTCTAACACACACCTGGAGGGGGAAAGGAGGAAAGAGAAAGATACACACATACCCCTATCACATATCTCTATAGCTGGTAGTATGTGACCTCTAGATCAATGAAGAACACTGATGATAACAGAGAGCAGTACTGTATACTTTAAAAATACCTATTTAATATCAGGATTATACTTAGAAATTATATTTAGGGGCCGGGTTCGGTGGCTCAGCCTGTAATCCCAGCACTTTGGGAGTCCGAGGCAAGTGGACTGCCTAAGCCCGCAGGTTCGAGACCAGCCCAGGCAACTTGGCGAGAACTTGTCTCAACAACAAAATAAAACAAAAAATTAGCCAGGCATGGTAGCGCGCTCCTGTAGTACCAGGTACTTGGAAGGCTGAGGCGGAAGGATTGCCAGAGCCTAGCAGGTCGCTGGGGTGGCCGTGAGTGTGCCACTGCACTCCAGCCTGTAAGATAGAGTAAGACTCCAACTCACAAAAAAAAGAAGAAAAAAGAAATTATACTTAGGAAGCATTATGGGTGGCCAGGTGCTCTTTGAGCTATGGCCAGGCCATGTTTTCTTAAGTTTTGGCCCCCTCTCCTACCTTGGGGAGGTGAATCTCTTCTTTCTCTCTCTTTCTAGTTTAGTTTTTAAATAAACTGTATTTTCTAATTAAAAAAGAAAAGGATAAGCCGGGCTTGGTGGCTCAGCCTGTAATCCCGCACCTTTGGGAGGCTGAGGTGAGTGGATTGCCTGAGCCCGCGGGTTCAAGACCCGCCTGGGCAACTTGGCGAGACCTCATCTCTACAATTAATTAAAAAAAAAAAAAAAATTAGCCAGACATGGCAGTGCATGCCTGTAGTTCCAGCTACTTGGAAGGCTGAGACAGAAGGATTGCCGGAGGCCAGCAGGTCAAGGCTGCGGTGGCTGGAAGCGGCCACTGCACTCCAGTCTGGGCGACAGAGTGAGACTTGAACTAAAAAAAAATTTTTTTAATTAAAAATAAAAAGAAAAAAGAAAAGGACAGACAGTCAAGCTTAGTGGTATGGGTAAGTAGAAGATATCCATCAGGGACACATACCCCAGCACAGAGGAGGATTGTAGCTATAAAAGAATAAAAGTGAAGAGAGATTACAAGATTTTTTATTTTAGATAGAAAAGGATGGCAAAACCAGAGTGATCTTCCTACAATGCAGATGTCATCATATCCATTGCTCCGATTAAGATTCTCCAGTGGAATCTGCCACCGTAAACTGTTACATAGCAATGAATGAATGCCCACCCCACTGCTTCCCCATAGGTGGATCTTGGAAACATAATGCCGAGTAGAAAAGGCAAGTCACAAAAGAATTTTAAAAGTACAACACAGGTTGAGCACCTCAAATGCAAAAATCTCAAATCTGAAATTCTCCAAAATCTCAATCTTTTTGAGAACTGACATGACACTCAAAGGAAATGCCCATTGGTGCATTTGGAATTTTGGGGTTTGGGAAGCTCAACCTGCACAAATAGTGCAAAATACTCCAAAATCTGAAAAAACCTGAAATACTTCTGATCCCAAGCATTTTAGAAAAGGGATACTATTCAACCTGTGCCATTTTTATAAGGCTCAGAAACAAGCAGTAAAACAAAATGTTGGTTCAGGATTCATATATATGTGGTTAACATAAAAGTAAGGGACAAAACACACAGCATGCAAGATACTGGGTTACCTCAGGGGAGAGGTGGGGGATGGGACAGGGAAAACATACACAGGTAGCTTCGATCACATAATGAGGTCTACATTCCTAAGTTGAACAGGGAGTCCAGAGGTGCTCATTTTATTAGGTTGCTTTATTATTTACATTTATCATGTGTCAAACATACAATTTTTAGATATTTAAAGGAAGGGAGGGAGGAAATCAGGAAGAGAAGGAAATAAGGTGAAGAAAGTTAGAGGATGGAAAGCAAGAAGAAAAAAGACCTTTGGCCCCTTGCTGCCTTGCAGCTAAAATCCAACTTCTCAGCAGGGATTACCAAATCTACCATGATACAGTCTCATCCTGCCCCTCATGCATCACCCAGTCCCATCTCCTGTTCATGATACCATATATCCTGCTCTCCAGACCACACTACTTCCTCACACCCAGGCTCTCTGTGCTCTTTCCCAGTGTCACACCATTACTCGTACCTCCTACATAGTGATCCAACCCTTTGAGCACAAGCAGCTTCAGGCATCAGGCCTCAGCTCAAATGTCTCCTTGGAGCACATCACATGCCCCACAGTGGTTCTAATCTGTGTTGGGCCACACTGCATTTTCTTTTTTTTTTTTTGAGTTGGAGTCTCACTCCGTCACCCAGACTGGAGTGCAGTGGCCAATCCCGGCCACCGCAGTTTTGACCCGCTGGGCTCTGGCGATCCTTCCGCCTCAGCCTTCCAAGTAGCTGGAACTACAGGTGCGCGCTACCATGCCAGGCTAATTTTTGATTTATTGTAGAGATGAGGTCTCGCCAAGTTGCCCAGGCGGGTCTCGAACCTGCGGACTCAGGCAATCCACTCACCTCAGCCTCCCAAGGCGCGGGATTACAGGCTGAGCCACCGAGCCCGGCATACACTGCATTTTCAATATCTGTCTTCCCACCAACCTGTGAGCTCTAAGAGAACAGAGAAAGAAAGCTAACATTCACCATAGGTCTTCTTTCACCAGACACTACATGGTACCTTGAATGCTGTATGCTTTTTTCCTTGCTTTTTTGTTAACTACATATATATGAATCCTGAAACAACATGTTGTTTTACTGCTTGTTTCTGAGCTGAGTCAAGTCATATTGATCTTTCTAGGTCCAACACTCATCAAGCAGTTGGCACACAAAAGGCACTCAGATACTGCCCGGGTTAATACGTGCAACCTTAGTAACAGCAGCATCCACTGGGATAGATTCTTTCAGTCAGGTTTTAGTCATTGAACATAAGGTCATGAGGACTGGGCTAAAAGCAAATCAGTCCCATCACTCCTTACCTATGATTATAGTAAACTACTTGACTCTGCATGAACAACTTATTGTCAAAATAATGAAAACACTGAATACACACTAGTATTGTATTAGAGAAATAGAAAGGAAAGAAGAAGATAAATTCCTCATATACCATAATGGAAAGCAACAGGCTATCTAAAATTGATGAAACAAGAGACAGTAGTTTATGATACTATGTAGCAATATGGAGATAAATTCTATCAAAAACAGCTAAGAGTTTTTAAATGCTTGCAGAGGATTGGGAGGGATGAGGAGTTGTTGTTTTGTTTTGTTTTTTTTGTTTTGTATGGTTTTGTTGAGTTGGAGTCTCACTCTGTTGCCCAGACTGGAGTGCAGTGGCCGCTCCCGGCCACTGCAGCCTCAACCTGCTGGGCTCCGGCGATCCTTCCGCCTCAGCCTTCCAAGTAGCTGGAACCACAGGCACGTGCTACCACATCCGGCTAATTTTTTGATTTATTGTAGAGATGAGGTCTCGCCAAGTTGCCCAGGCGGGTCTCGAACTCACGGGCTCAGGCAATCCACTCACCTCAGCCTCCCAAAGTGCAGGATTACAGGCTGAGCTACCAAGCCCGGCAAGTTGTTGTTTTGTATAATAAAACTTTTAGCACTACTATTTAACTCTTTAAATTACACACATATGCTATCCTAACAAAATTATCTTTTTTTTTTTTTTTTTTAAGTCGGGGTCTCACTCTGCTGCCAGGCAGGAGTACAATGACATGATCACAGTTCACTGCAGCCTCAACCTCTTGGACTCAGGCAATCCTTCCACCTCAGCCTCCTGAGTAGCTGAGACTATAGGCATATTCCACCATGCCTGTTTTTGTTCTTTTTTTAATTTTTTTGTAGAGATGAGTTGTCATTATGTTGCCCAGGCTGATCTCGAACTCCAGGGCTCAAGTAATCCTCCCAGCTTGGCCTCCCAAAATTCTGGGATTATGGACATGAGCCACTGCGCCTGGCCACAAAATTAGATTAGAACAGATTAGAAGGAAAAATGGTAACTGTTGGTTCTACACAATGGACAGTGCTAGTACCCATCTGGGAATGGTGGAGCTAGAGCCTGAAGAGGTGCCCAATAGTCAAGAGCCATCATGAACTGTCTCCTCTAGTCTCCATCAGCTCCAGGGTCATGGACTGGAGCTGTCACAACTGAGAGTGTTTCTCTACCAGGAACCTGAGGTTATTAACACAGACCTCCCACTGAGGTCATACGGGGAAACATGGAATTATATATCACTTTCATTTCAAGTGTGCTGAAAGCTTTATGAGCATGTCTCAGTGAATTCTCACATTAACATTGTGAGGTAAACATTATTATTGCCTCCATTGTACAGATGAGAAAACAGAGGCTCTAAAAAAGTGAAATAACCTTGTGTCTCTACACTAGACTGAAGTCACTTTCTGTGCTTACCACTGCCCAGGCCTGGAAGATAGTCTGGCATGGTAAGTGTTTTACCAATTGACTCAGCTCATGTCGTGTCAACTGTCAAATCAATATCTGACTCCTAAGGCCAGACTCTGTAACTAGACTCTACCTGTTGTCCCCTAATGTACTCATAGGCCTATGTTTAACTCCCAAGGGTTCCATGTGCCAAAAAATAGTCAAGGGACCTCTTTTAGAGTTTTGAATTCTTCTATATTGCACCGGACACAGGCTTTGTATAAACATTATGTCTGGGGATCCTCTGACATCAGAGAAAATTCTGAGTATTCTAAGTATTTATTTTAAGGGTATGATGTAACCTCACCCTAGAAAATTAGAGGCTCTTCTCTTTAAAGAGAGACTCCCAATCTCTTGAAAAAAGGACCTAGCAAACTTAGGGAGGAGGAAGAAGTTGCAACAATTTGAAGAAGTCAAGCAGGAATGTCAGCCACTCAGATTCTCAGTGGTTTTTTTGTGGGGGTTTTTTTTTTCCCTCGTTTGTTTTTAAGCCTACCCACTAAGCTGTAATGGCCTGTTGAGGACTGTGTCAACAGCAGTCATTTTATTTTCAGTTTTTATTTGTTCTCTGAGGGAGTTAGGGAGGTAAAGGAAGGGTAAGTAAATCTTTTTGTTGTTTGGAGGTTAAGAGCCAGAATAAGATCATCATCAGCTATACAGGCTAGAGGTCTTGTTTCAAGTTTAACTCCATTGCCTACCAAGCTTATGCCTTCATGGGTGCTCATGAATCAATGAAGAAACTGAAAGAACCAATAAAAGGAAAATGAAATCAGCTCCATACTCTAACTTTTTCTCCTTACTTTTTAAAAGTAAGACATACTTACCATTGAGACAAAGTTTGCACACCCAACAAGGCCACAGATATCATTTAATAAGATATAAGGATAGAATGTTGTCATACTTACTGGTTACCTTTGGATTTATTTAGATGACTCCAAATAAAAGATATTCAAAGGTATTAAAATTTCAGGTATAATTAAACCAAATGTACTAAAGTTAGCACTATCTTCTCAAACATAATCAGTAGATCAAGTCCCTGTGAGATAGAATAATTACCATGTCTTTTGGTCAAGAACTAACTCAAGTCGGGCTCGGTGGCTCAGCCTGTAATCCCGTGCCTTTGGGAGGCTGAGGTGAGTGGATTGCCTGAGCCCACGGGTTCGAGACCCACCTGGGCAACTTGGCGAGACCTCATCTATATAATAAATCAAAAAATGAGCCGGGTGTGGTAGCGTGTGCCTGTAGTTCCAGCTGAGGCTGAGGCGGAAGGATCACCGGAGCCCAGCAGGTCGAGGCTGCGGTGGTCAGGAGCTGCCACTGCACTCCAGTGTGGGCGACAGAGTGAGACTCCAACTCAAAAAAAAAAAAAAAACAAGAACTAATTCAGTGGAAATATGGTAATGTAATTATTTAATCATGGAATTTTTATATACTATTCTTCTCTCAATACTTTGAGATCAAACTCTTCCCAGCTAAATGCCAGCTAGGCATGTGTGGATGTGCACACACAAATTAAGGAACCCACGTTAATGCTAACTTTATATTGAAATGCTTTACACTCTTCTCATATTTTGACATAAATTAATTTAAGTAGGGTAATATTTTACAATAATACTTACATGATTAAGTTTTTTCAAAATTTCTATTTCAGTTTCTACATTGAGAGCCGGATCCTTTGGTAAATAGAATAACATTGGAATTTATTAATAACAATAATTACCAATATTTTAAAACATATTTACAGTAAAGTTTAGTTGACTAAAGGCTGCCTGAGTTCCAAACACAGCTTTATTCATACAAAGAAATCAAAGCCCAGAGGTCAATGAATTAAATATCTCACCTAAAATCATTTTGCAAAGAACATGGTAAATAGTTTTAAACATTCAATAAATGGCAGAGTTCTGTACTAAGCTCTTTATTTACAAAGATCATCTCACATAAGCCTCAGAATCCCCAAATGAAATGGATTCTATAATTATCACCCTCCGCTTTTTTTTTTTTTTGAGTTAGAGTCTCACTCTGTTGCCCAGGCTAGAGTGAAATGGCAAGCTCATGGCCACTGCAGCCTTGACCTGCTGGGCTCAGGTGATCTTTCTACCTCAGCCTTTCAAGTAGCTGGAACTACAGGTGCACGCCACCACGTCCTGCTAATTTTTTGATTTATTGTAGAGATGAGGTCTCAACAAGTTGCCCACGCTGGTCCCAAACCCCTGGGCTCAGGCAATCATCTCTTCTTTGCCTCCCAAAGTGCTGAGATGACAGGCGTGAGTCACCGTGCCTGGCAATTATCCCCATTTTACAGATGGGGCAACAGAGGCACAGAAAGTAGAAGCTACTTGCCCCAGTTCCCAGGCAGAAACTAGTGTATTTCCACTGTTTTCACATGTAACTGGTAAGCTCTACTTGTCACTAGCTATAGAATTACTTACGTTCATAAAAATGATAAAACAAACCAAAAAAAAAGGACAAGAAAGTGTTTAATTAAACTGTACAAAAAAAATTCAAGTCAAATTTCTTCTAATAGAGAAGATACAGATACTAAGTTCAACAACAGGCTAACATATTTACTGAAACTCTGATGAGAAACTTCAGGGTACTAAAGTTGTTCTCTGTTACAATTCCAAAAGGATGAATCAAGTAACTCAACTTCCTTGGCTACACCCTCCACAAGCAAGGAGGAAATAGAATTACATATTTATGTAAAATGAACTTCGGCTAAGAAACCCAGATGTTTAATTTTAAGAGTCTGCCTCTTCCTGTAAGCCATTAAACTCATTACCAAGTCAGGGTGTATGGTCATAAAGAGTCCAATCTGATTCAAAGAATGAAATTAAAAAGTAAAATTTTACTCCACATTTTTAACAATCTAGTTAGGTATTTTCTTCTCCCCAAAATGGTAAACAAATCCAGAATCACAAGGAAAAAAAAAATCTATAACAAAGTGAACACTGAAAGGAAATTCCTCTTGCCATATGAGAATGACATTGTCTAAGGGGAAAAAAATTGATCTTTAAAGAATGTGTAAATATAATAGCCAGAAACAGCTGGCCACAAAGGAAAATGTGATTAGGGGCTGTGTTTTACATTACTTTGTTGGGTCATGCGTAGAAAGACCAATACATTTGACCATCTCTCCCATACAGTAAATGTAGAGTACAAAAAATGTAGTAAAATGAATGGCTGCTACATAGAGAGACTATTAAAATAATTTAATAAAAATTCTAAAAATCTGTAAATAATCCATAAACAAAAGATACTCATTGCCACATTACCCAGATGAGCAAAAAATTGAAAATTACTTAAATTATCAACAAGAGAAATGGTTAAGTAAATTATTATAAAGTTGATGACATGGAGATTCAATCATCAAAAAGAATGTATCAGGGAAAAGTTTATGTCATAATGCATATGTGGAAAAGCAGAATACAAAACTGTATATATGTGATTTCAGTCATCTAATAACACGAATTCATATGAGCAAAGACTAGAAGGAAAGAGAAAACTAAAAACAGCTGTAGGGTTACAGTGGGGGGGTTATGGCTGAATTTTTTCTCTAATTTCCTTTCATTTACTATAAAAACAATCTTGTAACAACTTTTGAACTTGGAAGGAAGAAAAGAACTTCCTGCTATGTACATTATTAGGTACAACCAAATATTTTTTGAACTAAAATATCTATCACAGAAGTTTATAGATTAATCAAAGATACTCAAAAATTTCCCATGTTCTTTGATACTCACAAATTCACATACCTGAGCAGTGAGTTATCTCTGAGACTGAAAATCATCACTCTAAGATTATTTTGGAAAGTTATGAAGCAGTATCAAGAAAAGTTGAGCAGCTACAAATACAGGTACTTACTGCCTCTCTCCCTGAGCCAATAGCAAACCTCCTTTTGCTGATGATTTTTATGGCTACTTTCTTACATGTTTTCCTCTCAAAGGCCAGCTTTACCTCTCCACAGGCACCACTAGAGGGAAAAACAAAGACAGCAGTTGTCTGAATGTTTTTAATTATGAAATCCACCACTCCTGAGTCAGCCTCGAGTATTACAAGTTAAGGACAGCCCATATAGCAACTCTTCCATTGTCCTTGTTCTCAGAGTAAAGCCTCACCAATGTAAAATGTCAAGAGCATAAGTGGAAGTGGGCCATCCAACAATAATGAGTCAGCTCCAAACCCCACTTTTGAGCTGAGTAATAACACATAAGTCTTACTACAGTCCAAGATTGCGAAATTCTCAGAAAGGCACCAAGACCAATTGAGAGAGGTCAGAAAAACATCAAATAGAAGTCTTCCCTGGTCAAAAATGAGTACGCAAAGCAAGTTAACAGTAAACAAAATCAGAAAACAAAGTACTTTCGGTGATATATTTCTTTCCTCCTTTTTCTCTATTTTCTTTTTTCTTTTGTTTTTTTTTTTGTTTGTTTGAGTTGGAGTCTCACACCATCGTCCAGACTGGAGTGCAGTGGCATGTTCATGGTCACCCCAGTGTCAACCTCCTGGACCCCAGTGATCCTTCGGCCTCAGCCTTCCAAGTAGCCAGAACTACAGGTACACGCTAGCATGCCCAGCTAATTTTTTGATATAGTGTAGAGACTAGTTCTCACCATGTTGTACAGGCTGGTCTTGAACATGCAGGTTCAGGTGATTCTCTCACCTCAGCCTCCCAAAGTGCTGGGATTACAGGCTTGAGCCACCATGCCTGGCCTCTTTTCATTTTTTTTTTTTTTTGAGTCACGGTCTCACTCTGTTGCCCAAGACGGAGTGCAGTGAAACAATCACGGCTCAGTCTCCTGGCATCAGGCAATTCTATTGCCTCAGCCTTCTGAGTAGCTGGGACTACTAGTATGCGCTACCATGCCTCGCCTATTTTTAAATTTTTTTGTAAAGACAAAGTTTTTCTATGTGCTGGTCTCAAATAATCCTCCTGCCTTGACCTCCCAAAGTGCTTATTTTCTATTTTCAAAATAAATCTGTAAGCAGTTGATAGCATTAATTGTTCCCTAAATCAAACCAAAATACCTAAGAAACCAAAAATATTACACAATGAGCCTACTTACAACAACCCCTGACAAAGATTGCAATTGATTGGGAAACAACTAATGGAGAAGTAATGCTATCCAAGATCTCACCCAGGGCACACTTAATCCTAAATAGGATCTGTCCTTCAAACCTTGGGTCAGTTCAATGTATTGTCTGAGTATCAATTACCCAGGACCTCCTTGAAGAGAACTATATAACTATTATAGGTCTTGAGGGGGTGAGGTAAGAGGTTTACTAAGACATCTTTTTTATTGTGTTAAACACACATAAGATTTGTCACTGTAATCATTTTAAAACAATTCAAAGGCATTAAGTACACTGCCAATGTACTCACTATAACCACCACCATCTAATTCCAAAATTTTTTCATCAGCCCAAATGAAAAAGTTACGTGTTATACCTATTATGCAATTAAGGGCACCTAATTAAGCAGTTAAGCTGAAATACCTATTAACCAAAAATAAGTATGCTTATCTATTTGCTAAGCTTAATATTCATTAAGCAATTAAGCCGTCTCGCCCCACTCTACCCTGCACACTGCACCCAGTCTCTGGCATTAATCTGCTTTCTAACTTGCCCATTCTGAATATTTCTTATCAATGAAATCATACAATATGTAGCCTGTATCCACTTCTTTCACTTAGCATAACATTTTCAAGGTTCATCTGTGCTATAGCATCTGTCAATATTCCATTCCTCTTTATAGCCAAATAATATCCCATTGTGTGGAAATACCATTTTGTTTATCCATTCATCTTTTAATGGACATTTATTTGGGTTGCTACCATCTTTTGTAAATAGTTTCTTCGATATGACACCAAAAGCACAAGCAACAACAACAAAATAGATTTTTCAGGCTTCATCATTGTAATTAAAGTTACTATAAACATTCTTATACATTTTGTATTTGAATTATTGTTGTTCATTGTGGAGCATATATATACCCAGGAGAAGAATTTCTTAGTCACATGGTAATTAAATGTTTAGCTTTTAGAAAACCACCAAACTGCTTTCCATAGTGGCTGTACCATTTTACATTCCAACCAGCAGTGTATGGAGGCTCCAATTGCTCCATATCCTCACCAGCACTAGTTGTTTTCTGTTTCTCTATTATGGCCATCCTAGTTAACAGGAGTAAAGTGGTATCTCATTATGCTTTTGATTTATACTTCCCTAATGACTGATGATGTTGAGCATCTTTCCATGTGCTTTTTGACCAGTTGTATGTCTTCTGTGGAGAAATGCCTATTCAAAAGCCTTTTGCCCATTTTTGTTTGGTTTTTTTGTTTTTGCTTTTGAGTTGGAGTCTCACTGCGTTGCCCAGGTTGGAGTGCCGTGACATACTCACAGCCACCCCAGCGTCAACCTGTTGGGCTCTGGCGATCCTTCTGCCTCAGCCTTCCAAGTAGCTGGAACTACAGGCGCATGCTACCATGCCCGGCTAATTTTTTTTTTTTTTGGATTTATTGTAGAGACAAAGTCTCACCAAGTTGCCAGGACTAGGCAATCCGCTCGCCTCAGCCTCCCAAAGTGCTGGGATTACAAGCTGAGCCACCGAGCCCAGCCTGGTTTTGGTTTTTTTGAGTTGGAGTCTCACTCTGTCACCCAAGCTGGAGTGCAGTGGTATACTCACAGCCACCACAGCATCGGCCTGCTGGGCTCCAGCGATCCTTCCACTTCAGTCTTCCAAGTATCCAGAACTACAGGTGCACGCTACCATGCCTGGCTAATATTGTATTTATTGTAGAGACGATGTCTCACCAATTTGCCCGTGGGCTCAGGCAATCCACTTCCTCGGCCTACCAAAGTGCTAGGATTACAGGATGAGTCACCAAGCCCAGTCTGCTCATTTTTAAATTGCAGGTTGTCTGTCTTTTTCCTATTACGTTCCAAGATGTCTTTTCCTATTCTGGATATAAATCCTTATCAGATAAATAATTTGCAAATATCTTATCTCATTCTGTGGGTTGTATTTTCACCCACTTAATAGGTATCTTTTGAAGCACAAAATATTTTAATTTTGATAAAATCTAATTTATCTTTTTTCTTTTGTTGCTGTGCTTCTGGTATCATATTTAAGAAACCATTGCCAAATCCAAGGTCATGAAGAGTTGCCCCTGTGTTTTCTTCCCAGAGTTGTATAGTTTTACCTTTCACATTTAGTTCTTGGTTCTACATTCAATTAATTTTTGTATACTGTATAAAAAGAGTCTCTGTAACTATTTTTCTTTTCTTTTTTTTTTTTTTTTTTGAGTTGGAGTCTCACTCTGTCACCCAGACTGGAGTGCAGTGGCCGCTCCAGACCACCACAGCCTCAACTTGCTGGGCTCCAGCAATCCTTCCGCCTACTATTTTTCAAATTAGTTCAAAGTACCTTCCAATTTTCCTTCTCCTCAAAATAATCACACTTTTCCTATGAAATCCTCACTGAGTCCACACAGTGGTATCTACTATGATATAATCCCCACTCCTAGGACCACAGCATGAATACATAACCAAAAGTGAGCCAATCAGGGTTCCCCTTGAAATCAAAGGATGAAACTAAGAGAAGCAGTTCTCTTTGCTGTGGTTTCTAGACAAAGAAAATATTAATCTGTAACTTCTCATTCCCATTTTTCCTGCCACTTAGAGAAATTCTATAGGAAGGCAACAAACAGCTGAATTAAAAGATGGAAGCTGGGCTCGGTGGCTCAACCTGTAATCCTGCACCTTGGGAGGCTGAGGTGAGTGGATTGCCTGAGCCCGCGGGTTCGAGACCCGCCTGGGCAAGTTGGCGAGACCTTATCTCTACAATAAATCAAAATGAGCCGGGTGTGGTAGCACGCACCTGTAGTTCCAGCTACTCGGAAGGCTGAGGCGGAAGGATCACCGGAGCCCAGCAGGTCGAGGCTGCGGTGGCCAGGAGCAGCCACTGCACTCCAGTCTGGGCGACAGAGTGAGGCTCCAACTCAAAAAAAAAAAAAAAAAAAAAGATGGAGCTAGAGCCCTAGTGACACTATGGAACCCTTAGTTCCAATCAAAGATAAAGTCAAACAGATCATCAGAACTCAAAAGAAAGACAATGAAATCAAGCCCTCATGAACTTCTGGACCTCCTTTCTTTTCTTACCTGACTAATTTGAGTTGTCCTCTGTGACCTGCTACAAGTTACAGAATTTATGTTAAATCTTCCATTAAGAAAACACTGAATCTCATATATTTCTTAAGAAAGGATTTGGCAGCCAATACAAATATGGAAACAATCAGTTACTGAGTTAAATATCCATAAACTAAAATTTCTGCCATAAATGGTCACAAAAAGGATACTATATTTGACTCTATGTGACAGGAATATATGGGTGATTATTTCCTTCTATGTACTTTCTACTTTCATGTTTCCAAAAATATCAATAAATAGAAAGGCCTTTGTGTTGGGGGGGGCGCAAAGGACTGTGTAATGTAGTAACAGTGTCCTGAAAACCCTCCCTAAAGAAAAGGTTCTCTCTAGTCTTTTTATAATAATTCTTTTTCATTAAAAAGTCACTTATCCAGGCCAGGCACAGTGGCTCACACCTATAATCCTAGCACTTTAAGAGGTCGAGGCAAAAGGATCATTTGAGACCAGGAGTTCAAGACCAGCCTGAGCAACATAACAAGATCTTGTCTTTACAAAAAATAAAAAAATTAGCCAGGAGTGGTGGCACACACCTGTGTCCTAGCTACTCAGAAGGCTGAGGTGGAAGGATCACCTAAGCCCAAGGATGTTGAGCCATGATTGCACCACTGCACTTCAGCCTGAGTAATAGAGTGAGACCCCAACTCAAAAATATATATATATGATCAATAAAATTTTAAAGGAAAAATTTCATTACAATTGATCATTATCAAATAAGTCAATAATACACTTATCATAATCTATGGAAAAATACTCAATATCTCTAATCATCAGGGAAATGCAAATTAAAAGCACAATGAGATATCATCTCCTGCCTGTTAGAATGGTTACTATCAAAAAGACAAATGATAACAAGTATTAAAGAAGATGTGCAGAAAAGGGAACCTTGACACACTGTTGTAAGAGAATGTAAATCAGTACACCCATCTTGGGAAATAGTATGAAGGTTCCTCAAAAAAATTAAAACAGAGCTACCACATGATCGAGTTCCATTTTTTTTTGAGACAGGAGATTTCACTCTAGCACCCAGGCTGGAGTGTAGTTACAGTCACAGCTCACTATAGTCTGAAACGCCTGGGCTCAAGCGATCCTCCTGCCTCAGCCTCTCAAGTAGCTGGGACTATAGGCACAAGTCACCACATGCAGCTAATTTTTTATTATTTCTCTGTAGAAATGGGGTCTGGCTACGTTGCCCAGGCTGGTCTCAAACTTCTAGCCACAAGCGATCCTCCCATCTTAGCCTCCCAAAGCCAAAGGGATTACAGGTATGAGCATTCATGCCCAGCCCAGTAATTCTTCTTTTGAGTACACATCCAAAGAAATTTAAATCAATATGTCAAAGACATGTCTGCACTCCCATGTACACTACAGCATTATTCACAATAGTCAAGATATAGAAGCAACCTAAATGTCCATCAATAAATGAATGGATAAAGAAAATGTGATGTAAAATACACAATGGAATACTATATAGTCTTAAAAAAAAATAAATTCTGTCTCTTGTGACAACATAGATGGAACTAGAGGACATGCTAAGTGAAATAAGCCAGGCACAGAGAGATAAATACTTATATGTGGAATCTTGAAAAGTCAGTCTCATAAAAACAGAGTAGAAAAGTTGACGAGGTCATCAACTGGGAGTTATGGGGAGTAATAGAGAAAGGGAAGATGATGATCAACGAATACAAAGTTTCAATTAGATTAAAGGAAGAAGTTTTAGAGATCCCTTGTACCACATAGCAGCCGCAGTTAATAATAATGTGTTCTATAATGCAAAAATAGATTAACATTCTCACCACAAAAAAATGATAAAATGGTGAGGAAACTTATATTAATTAGTTTGAATATTTTTGTAATGTATACAGAGATCAAAACATCACATTGGATTCCATAAATATACACAATTATTTGCAAAATAAAAATGTAAGCCAGGCATGGTGGCTCATGCCTATAATGCCAGCACTTTGGGAGGTCAAGGTGAGAGGACTGCCTGAACCCACGAGTTTGAGGCCAGGCTGGGTAACTTGGCAAGACATCATCTCTACAACAGATCAAGAAAAATTAGCCAGGCATGATGACACGCATCTACTGTTCCAGCTACTTGGAAGGCAGAGACCTGTGCCCAACAGGGTAGAAGCTGTAGTGGGCAACAGAGTGAGATTCTGACTCAAAAATGAATGAGTGAATGAATGAATAAATGAATAAATGAATAAAATCTGTCAAATAATGCAAAAAATAAAAAGTAACACATCAATCACAAACAGGTGCCTTACAAAATAAGTTATCAGTAGATAGTAAATGTTATGAAATCTGAAACAGAAAAACCAATGATAAATGAGTAGGGAAAAATGAAGTGCAATTTATATAAGAAAAGATGTTACCTTCCAATGGTTTTTGACATGATGTATTCATCTCGTAATTCCTTAGGATAAATTGACTGATCATCTACAGTCAGATCAAAAAATACAAAAACTAAAGGAAAAAAGAGCAGAAATTAGTTCCATTAATTTATTCAAAAAAGAATATAATTGATTCCAAAATCTAATAATGAGATAGAATAATAGACAATTGTTCTTAATTACATTTAACACATAACCCAGCCAGGCTCGGTGGCTCAGCCTGTAATCTCGCACCTTTGGAAGGCTGAGGTGAGTGGATTGCCTGAGCCTGCGGGTTCGAGACCCGCCTGGGCAACTTGGTGAGACCTCATCTCTACAACGAATAAAAAAAATTAGTCAGGTGAGGTAGCGCGCGCCTGTAGTTCCAGTACTCGGAAGGCTGAGGCGGCAGGATCGCCGGAGCCCAGCAGGTCGAGGCTGCGGTGGCCAGGAGGAGCCACTGCACTACAGTCTGGGCAACAGAGTGAGACTCCAACTCAAAAAGAAAAACAAAAACAAAACATATAACCCTAAAGGAATTATTTAGCTAGGCTAACACATATCATAAAAAAACTTGAGAAATTCTAGTCACAGCCAGGCTCGGTGGCTCAGCCTATAATCCTGCACTTTGGGAGGCTGAGGTGAGTGAATTGCCTGAGCCCGCGGGTTCGAGACCCGCCTGGGCAACTTGGCAAGACCTCATCTCCACAATAAATCAAAAAATTAGCTGGGCGTGGTAGCGCGCGCCTGTAGTTCCAGCTACTTGGAAGGCTGAGGCGGAACGATCACCGGAGCCCAGCAGGTCGAGGTTGTGGTGGCCAGGAGCAGCCACTGCATTCCAGTCTGGGCGACAGAATGAGACTCCAACTCAAAAAAAAAAAAAAGAAAGAAATTCTAGTCACATTTCACAGCATTGCTCTAAAAACAGTGCAGGAAACATGTAACGTAACGGCTGTTCATATTCCTTGACCTCAGAATATCAAGCAATTACAATAGTATAAAATACCCATGCAGTTTACCACAGGTCCAGAATCAAAAAGCAATTAATGTAAGTCTACAAAGTATATTTTAAGCAAGTATTAGGACACCCCAATAAAAATTAGGCCATATGTCACTATACTAGTATTATCTTCTCTTAGCCATTTATACCTTTACATAGCTGGTATACAGCGTAAACCATCTTAAATGTAAAGTTAAGTAATAACATTTTCTACACAAATTTTCTTTTTGTTACTTCATTATTCAGACTGTATCTTAAAAAATAAAACAACTATTCATTTAATAATTAACCATCCACGTGGGCAAGCCTGCAATAAATTATTAAACACGTCAGGCTGGGTGCAGTGGCTCATGCCTGTAATCCCAGCACTTTGGGAGACCAAAGCAGGAGGAGGATTGCTAGATCCCAGAAATGCAAGACCAGCCTAAGCAACATAGCGAGACCTTGTCTCTACAAAAAGGAAAAAAATCAGCCAGGCTGATGATGTGCAACTATAGTCCCACTACTCAGAAGGTTGAGGCAGAAGAATCACCTAAGCCCAGGAGGTCGAGACTGCAGTGAGCCATGATTGTGCCACTGCACTTTAGCCTGGACAACAAAGTGAGATTCCCAACTAAAAAAAAAAAGTTTTAATTATTCTAAATCATCATTAGTAAATTTACAACTGCCTATGTTTTGAAAGAGTGATATTTGTTAGAATTCTTTAGTGCTAACCAAGCATGATGGCTCACACCTATAATCCCAGCACCTTGGGAGGTGGAGGCAAGATTGCCTGAGCTCAGGGGTTCAATGATGAGCATGGGCAACTTGGCAAGACTTGGTCTCTATAAAAAATGAAAACATGGCCAGGCTCGGTGGCTCAGTCTGTAATCCCAGCACTTTGGGAGGCCGAGGTGAGTGAATTGCCTGAGCCCACGAGTTCAAGACCTGCCTGGGAAACTTGACGAGACCTCATCTCTACAATAAATCAAAAATTAGCTGCGCATGGTAGCGCGCGCCTGTTGTTCCAGCCACTTGGAAGGCTGAGGCGGAAGGATCGCTGGAACCCAGGAGGTTGAGGCTGCGGTGGCCGGGAACAGCCACTGTACTCCAGTCTGGGTGACAGAGTGAGACTCCAACTCAAAAAAAAAAGAAAAGAAAACATTAGCTGGGTGTGGTGGCGTATACCTGTTGTTCCAGTTACTTGGAAAGCTGAGGTGGAAGGATCACCTGAGCCCAGCAAGTAGAGACTGTGGTGAGCTGTAATTGTGTACTCCAGCAAGGGCAATACAGTGAGATCCCAACACACATAAAAAAATGTCAATTCTTCAAAGTCATCATGAGTAAATTTGTAACTGCTTACTTATTTTTTTTTTTTTTGAGTTGGAATCTCACTCTGTTGCCCAGGTTGGAGTACAGTGGCACACTCAGAGCCACTGCAGTCTCGACCTGCTGGGTTCAGGGGATCCTTCCACCTCAGCCTTCCAAATAGCTGGAACCACAGGCATGTACCACCACACCCAGCTAATTTTCTTTTTTAATTTATTGTAGAGACAAGGTCTCGCCATGCTGGTCTCGAACCCCTGGACTCGGGCAATCCTCTCTGCCTCCCAAAGTGCTGGGGTCCCAAAGTGCTGGGGTTACAGGCTTGAGCCACTACGCCTGGCATCTGCTTATATTTTGAAACAGGAAAGTTTGTTAGGACTCTTGTGTTCTCAGGTTTCAGGTGATAGGTTTGATCTCCCCAGATCCTAAAGATCTAGTCGCTGGCTCAAATCTCAACCACCTGAGTGAGTATACATCATTCCAGGTTAGCACGCATGAGGCAGACACTTGCCTTATGAGTGAGACCCACTGGCCACTCAAGTACAACTGTCTTTGTATGCTTGTGGCTATCTATAAACCTATATGTTTCAGTAGTATCTGAGAATCAGGGAATTTGGGGGGTTCTGCTAATGTATTTCTCCCAGCTATCAAAGTCTACTACAGGGGCCACAAATTTTAATTGTCCAAACAAGAAAGGAAAGTAATGGAAAATGGTCAGACTGGGTTGAGCTTAAGACAACATGGACAAGTGGAGACTTGAAAGAGAAAATATATCTGCCATCTAAAGGCGGCACCCTTAGCCAGACACAGTGGCTCATGCCTGTAATCCCAGCACTTTGGGAGTCCAAGGCAGGAGGATCACTTGATCCCAAGAGTTAGAGACTGGCCCAGGCAACAAAGCAAGACTCTCATCTCTACAAAAAATAAAAAATAAAAAACTAGCCAAGCACTGTGACATACACCTGTAGTCCCAGCTACTTGAGAGGCTGAGGCAGGAGGATAGCTTGAGCCCTGAAGTTAGAAATTATACTGAGCTACAATAGTACCATGGTACTCCGACATGAGCAAGATCTTGTCTCTAAAAATAAAATGAAATAAAGGAGGCAACCTCTACTCAGTACCTGCAGATCAGAGTTGTAGGATTATAGTCTCATTGCAGCCAGATATTCCAACCTTTCTGAGACACCTAGATTTTCACATTAGCATTATCAATATCACCAAATACCTAGTAAAACATCCACAGGCCAAATGCAATCTGTAGAGAATCTGTCTGATCAACTTTAATCAGGGTCACCTTTAGCCTGTATGACATCTTTGTCCAAATTAGAAATGACCAAGAGTTTTATTGTACCTCATGGTGACTATAGTTATAAACAATGTATTGCAAGGTGAGAGGAGTGCCTGAGCCCATGGGTTCGAGACTAGCCTGGGTAACTTGGTGAGATCCTCATCTCTACAATAAATCAAAAAATTAGCCAGGCATGGGTGACGTGTGCCTGTAGTTCCAGCTACTTGCAAGGCTGAGGTGGAAGGATCGCCTGAGCCCAGCAGGTCAAGGCTGCGGTAGCCTCCAGCCTGGGTGACAGAATGAGACCCCCACTCAAAAAAAAAGGTTGGCTGAGAGGAGCTTTATTAATAAAGTGTTCTCCCTATAACAAATGATAAGTATGTGAGGTAATGCATGTTACTTACTTTGAATTAGCCATTCCACAATGTGTATATATTTTGAAACATCGAGTTGTGCATGATAAACATATACAATTTTTATTTGTCAATTAAAATAAAAATTATTATTATCATTATTTTTTTGAGTTGATGTCTTACTCTGTAGGCCAGGCTAGAATGTAGTGGCACAATCATGGTCCCACCACAGCCTCTATATCCTGGGCTCAGGTAATCCTCCAGCCTCAGCCTCCCAAATAGCTGGACTATAGGCACATGCCACCATGTCCTACTATTTTGTTTTCAAATTTTTTAATAAAGATGAGGTCTCATTATGTTTCCTAGACTGGTCTTGAACTCTTGGGCTCAAGCGATTCTCCCACCTTGGCCTCCCCAAGTACTGGGATTATAGGTATGAGTCATTATGCACAGCATTATTTTTAATATTTATATAATTTTTAAAAAGAAAAGGTGCCCTTTGAGCAAACCAATGAGAAAGAGGTGGCATGCCACTTGTTAAGTAGAGGGCAAATCAAATTTGAGCACCCAGATGCCCCTTTAACTAGGTACCCACAAATAGCAAAACCATATGCAAGACTGTAACTTCAGACAGAAAACAAAATAGTCAAAAACAGGGAAAAGTCAGTCAATCATAAAATGTGTTTTAAGGTATCCAAAATAGACAACTCCCAAATGCCAGTCTGAAGACTGGCTGTATGAAAATTCCTTGGGCATGATTTTTTTTTTTTTTTTTTTTAAGACAAGGTCTTGCAATGTAGTCCAGGCTGAAATGTTGTGGCTATTCATAGGCACAATCATCACGCACTCCTGGGCTCAAGCAATCCTCCCGCCTCAGCCTGCTATAGATGTGCCCAACAGCATTATTTTTTAAATTTCCAGCAACTACTGAATCAGAATCTATGGGAAAGTGCACACGTGAACCTGTATTTTTTAAATGTCACACTCACACGCACATAGACGTGCACATTCCTTTCCAAGTCATTTGACTCTCAGATAGGTTTGGGAAGTGGGTTTTTTTAATTAAAGAAACAAGAGTAAGCCCCGGGCTCGGTGGCTCAGCCTATAATCCCGCGCTTTGGGAGACTGAGGTGAGTGGATTGCCTGAGCCCGCGGGTTCGAGACCATCCTGGGCAACTTGGCAAGACCTCATCTCTACAATAAATAAAAAAAAAAAAAAAATCAGCCGAGCTTGGTAGCACGCGCCTGTAATTCCAGCTACTAGGAAGTCTGAGGCGGAAGGATGCCGGAGCCCAGCAGGTCGAGGTTGTGGTGGCCGGAAGCGGCCACTGCACCACTGCACTCCAGTCTGGGCGACAGAGTGAGACTCCAACTCAAAAAAAAAAAAAAAGAAAGAAAGAAACAAGAGTATATCCAAGGATTTTAAATCAGTGAGCTACTTTTGACTCTGTAAGTTATTTTTGTCAGTTATTTTTTCTAGACTTTACCCTGAATCACAAGTCTTAATTTTTTTATCTGATTTTCAGTTTTAGTGGATGCTTATAAAATGCTACCTAATGATGACGATAAACATCTCTACTTGCTCAGAATAACAATATAGTATTTAAGAAGGTGGAAGTTAAAGCCAGGTGAATATCATTTAAAAAAAAGAAGATGGAAGTTCTAAATTGAGCCTCTTACAGTCGCACCCATAGCCCAATTCCTGGCATATAACAGGAGCTCAATAAATGTAAGCAGAAATGAATGAATGGAAGTCATGAAGAAAGAAAAGAAAAAGGATGAGAATAAAATATGAATTAATGGCCTAAAAACAACTCATAGGTATCTAATAAGACTGATGTGGTATAAACTGAATCAATCAATAAACTATAACTTATTTTAACCAATATAATTTAATAGCATATAGCTTTAAATAAAACCAATGAAACCTTTAAAAAAACTGTCTGAATAGAATTTTTTCATAATTTAAAAACACAACTAGGATGGTAGAAATGAATCTTGAATGCTAACACTTAATTTCACTTATTTAAACTATACTCTGTAAGGATACAACAATTTTCCCCTTACATGGGAAAGAAAAAGAAATCCTAAGAAAATCTTAAGATAATAATTATTACCTTTATTTCTGCATAGTGAAAGTGCAATTTCAGAGTTGTTATTCAAGGGACGGCGTTTTCCTTTCCCTACAAGCTCCGTATTTACAAAGGTTCCATTCCCACTGTGATCCTCTATGTATGCAATGTAGGAGCTTTTAGGACCCATTTCCTAAAATAGAAAATATTTTCTTATTTCACACTTTGCGGAGACTTACAGTGCGAAAATATCTAAGAACAATGATTAGATTGCCAGCTCTCTCAAATATTTGGATATTTGTCACCTACCCTGAAGATTCGAAAGTGTTTCTTGCTATATGTTCGGTATTTATCTGTTTTTTTTAGTAGTGGTTCATCAAAGCAGTAGTCACAGCTTTTGTCCCTCCCAAACCAGTAGTTATCATTAACACACTCTGTAATACAAAAGCACCAGAGAGCTGTTGAATTTCATGTACCCAACATTTTAAAATTGCTCACAAAATCTGCTTGTAGGAAAATAGCCTAAGAAGGCTATCAAAATTAGACTTGCATGTCAAGATTTCATAAGATTAAAAATTAGAAGAGAAAAAACAAAATTTTCCAACAACTTGAATAAATGATAGTTTAAACACAATCATGAAACATTCAAAAATCTCAAGTAATTTTTAATGACTTGGAAAAATACTAATGATACAATAACTTCCAACTTATTAACTTCCTGTGGTTTCCCACCATACTTAGTATAAAATCTGTATTCCTCTTCATGGCCTACCAGATGCTCAGGGGCTGGCATCTGCTTCTATTCCAGTCTCACCTTGTACCCCTGGCCTCTTGCTCACAACATTCAGCACTGTTGGTCTCCATTCACTGCCACACACATGATGGGCTCAGCCCACCTGTGTGGCCTTCAAACTTCCTCTTCCCTAATTACTTGAATGGCTCATCACTCAGCTTTCTGCATATGTACCACCCACCTGTTATCAAAATGATAACCTATTTTATTTCCTTCTAAGTATGAACTATAACTGGAAATTACTTTGATTATTTGTATATTATCTCCCCACTACTACCTATTAGAACATAAACCCCAGGAGGACGACCTCTGGTCTCTTGTGGGCAGCGAGACCTCATCTCTACAATAAATCAAAAAATAAGCTGGGCGTGGTAGTGCATGCCTGTAATTCCGGCTACTTGGAAGGCTGAGGCGGAAGGATCGCTGGAGCCCAGCAGGTCGAGGCTGCAGTGGCCAGGAGCAGCCACTGCACTCCAGTCTGGGCGACAGAGTGAGACTCCAACTCAAAAAAAAAAGGAATACAATCCAGGCCGAGCACGAGAGCTCATGCCTATAATCCCAGCACTTTGGGAGGCCGAGGCCAGAATATTGCCTGGACCTGCGGGCTCGAGACCAGCCTGGACAACATGGTGAGACCTCATCTCTACAATAAATTAAAAAATTAAGTGGGTGTGATAGCACCAGCTTGTAGTTCCAGCAACTTGGAAGGCTGAGGCAGAAGGATCCCTTGAGCTCAGCAGTTCGGGGCTGTGGTGGCCAGGAGCATGCCACTGCACTCCAGCCTGGGTGACAGAGTGAGACTCCAACTCAAAAAAAAAAAACCTCCCTAATAAATGTTATGGTGGGCAGGCATGGTGGCCCACACCGTAATCTCAGCACTCAAAGAGGCCAAGGCAGGCTGGGCACAGTGGCTCACACCTGCAATCCCAGGACTTTGGAAGGCAGAGGGGTGAGGATTGCCTGAGTCCATGGACGCAGCAGGTCAAGGCTGCGGTGGCTATGAGTGTGCCATTACACTCCAGCCTGGGTGACACAGTGAGACGCCAACTCAAAAAATAAATATATAAAATAAAATAAAATTAGCTGGGATGGTGGCATGCACCTGTAGACCCAGCTATTCAGGAGACTGAGGCAGGAAGATTGTCTGAGCCCAGGAGGTTGAGGTTGCAGTGAGTCATGATTGTGCCACTGCACTCCAGCCTGGGTGACAGCGTGAGACCCAGACCAAAAAAAAAAAGGAAAGGAAGAGAAAGATTAGCCTGGGCAACATGGCAAGACCTCGTCTCTACAATAAAAAAAAAAAAAATAGCCAGGCTCGGTGGCTCAGCCTGTAATCCCGCACCTTTGGGAGGCTGAGGTGAGTGGATTGCCTGACCCCGCGGGTTCGACACCCACCTGGGCAGCGAGACCTCATCTCTACAATAAATCAAAAAATCAGCCGGGCGTGGTAGAGCATGCCTGTAATTCTGGCTACTTGGAAGGCTGAGGCGGAAGGATCGCTGGAGCCCAGCGGGTCGAGGCTGCGGTGGCCGGAAGCAGCCATTGCACTCCAGTCTGGGCAACAGAGTGAGACTCCAACTCAAAAAAAATAAAAAAATTAGCTGTGCATGGTGGTTGCAGTTGCAGTTACTTGGAAGACTGAGGCAGAAGGATCACCTGAGCCCAGCAGGTCAAGGCTGCAGTGGCCATGAATGTGCCACTGCACTCCTGTATGGGTGACAGAAAGACTCTGACTCAAAAAAAAAAGACCAAGGCGGGAGAATCACTTGATCCCAGGAGTTCAAGACCAGCCTGGGCAACACAGCCAGACCTTGTCTCTAAAAAAAAATAAAAAATAAAAATCCAGGCTGGACAACTTGGCGAGACCACATATCTACAATGAATCAAAAAATTAGCTGGGCATGGTGGTGCATGCCTGTGGTTCCAGCTACTTGGAAGGCTGAGGCAGAAGGATCGGCTGAGCCCAGCAGGTCAAGACTGCGGTGGCTATGAGCATGCCATTACCCTCCAGTCTGGGTGACACAGTGAGACGCCAACTCAAAAAATAAATATATAAAATAAAATTAGCTGGGATGGTGGCATGCACCTGTAGACCCAGCTATTCAGGAGACTGAGGCAGGAAGATTGTCTGAGCCCAGGAGGCTGAGGTTACAGTGAGCCATGATTGTGCCACTGCACTCCAATCTCGGTGACAGTGGGAGACCCAGAACAAAACAAAACAAAAAAAAAAAAAAGGAAAGGAAGAGAAAATAAAAATAAATGTTATATCCCTACAAATCAATAAGAAAAAGACAAGCCGGGCTCGGTGGCTCAGCCTGTAATCCCGCGCCTTTGGGAAGCTGAGGTAAGTGGATTGCCTGAGCCTGCGGGTTCGAGACCCGCCTGGGCAACTTGGCGAGACCTCATCTCTACAATAAATCAAAAAATAAGCCAGGCGTGGTAGCGTGCGCCTGTAGTTCCAGCTACTTGGAAGGCTGAGACGAAAGGATCGTCGGAACCTAGCAGGTCGAGGCTGCAATGGCCAGGAGCGGCCACTGCACTCCAGTCTGGGTGAGTGAGACAGAGTGAGACTCCAACTCAAAAAAAAAAAGACAAATAATCTAGTAGCAAATGAGTAAAGGAAATAAAAAGATAATTTACTAGAGATGGAAATACAAATGGCTCAAACACATGAAGAGATAGCCAAGCTAACCCAACACAAGAAATTTTAAAAACTAAAACTACATTAAAATTCTATGTTGACCGGGCACAGTGGCTCCCATCTATAATCCCAGCACTTTAGGAGGCCAAGATGAGAGGACTGCCTGAGCCCACGTGTTCAAGACCAGCCTGGGCAACTTAGTGAGACCTCATCTCTACAATAAATCAAAAACCTAGCTGGGCATGGTGGTGCATACATGTAGTTCCAGCTACTTGGAAGGCTGAGGTGCAAGAATCACCTGAGCCCACTGTGGTGGCCATGAGCATGCCACTGCACTCCAGCCTGTACTCCAATTCAAAAAAAAAAAAAGATTCTATGTTCCACCTATCAGACTGACAATAATCAAACAGTTTCATATCATACTATGTTGGCAAGAGGTACAGAAAAGCAGGTACTCTCATACACTGCCAACAAGAATAGAATACACATTGTATATAATTGTCTAGGGAGGACAATTTGTCAAGATCCACCAAAATTACATTCACAACAACTTCGCACACATAAAAATGGCTATAATCGTTAAAAGGATACCAAGTGCTGGCAAGGATGCAGAGACGGTGGAACCTTCATACATAGCGGTAATAATAGAAAATGGTGCCGCCTCTATGAAAAACTGTTTGCAGTTCTTCAAAAAGTTAAACATAGATTTGTCATATGACTGAGCAATTCTAATCTTAAGTATGTACTCAAAAGAACTGAAAACAGGTACTCAAACAAATGCTTGTACGTGAATGTTTGTGTGAGCACTACTCACAACAGTCAAAAAGTGGAAAAAACCCAAAAGTCCTTCAACAGATGAATAAATAAACAAATCGACGTATTTACATATAATGGAATAATATGCAAGCAGAAAAGGGAATAAAGCATTAATATATACTACAACAGGGATAAGCCCTAAGATCATGCTAAGTGAAAGAAACCAGACACAAAAGACTACAAACTGCATAACTGTATTTATATAAAATAACCAGCACAGTAAATCCATAAAAATGAGATGCAGATTAGTAGTTGCTAGGGCAGAAGGTGGAGGGGAATAGGTAGTAACTGTTTAATGGGTACAGGGTTTTATTTTGAAGTGATGGAAATGTTTTGGAACTAGATACCAGTAGTGGTTGAACAATATTGTGAATGTACTAAATGCCACTGAATTACGGCTGTTTACTTCTATATATTTATTTTTAATTTTTTTTTTTGAGTCAGTGTCTCCATTCTGTCGCTCAGGTTGGAACACAATCACAGCTCACAGCAGCCTCAAACTCCTACAAAAAAAAAAATCAAGAAATTAGCCAGGCATGATGGTGCTGGCCTCTAGTCCCAGCTACTTGGGAGGCTGAGGCAGAAGGATTGCTTGAGTCCATGAGGTTGAGGCTACGGTGAACCCTGATCATATCACTACATTCCAGCCTGGGCAATAGAGTGAGAACAAGACTCAAAAAAAATAAAAACTCATTTTATATATATTTTACCACAATTTTTTAAAGTAAGCATTAAAATACTTAGGAATAAATTTTTGTAAGTACAAGACTTGTATACTGAAAACTACAAAACATTATTTGAAGATCAAAATAAACAGAAGGCTAGCACAGGTTGATAGATAGAAGACTTAGTACTGTTAAGATGTCAGTTCTCCCTATATTGATCTCTAGATTCAATGCAATCCCTATCGAAGTCCCCACTGCCTTCTTTGCAGGAAGTGACAAGCTTATCCTAAAATTTATATGGAAATGCAAGGGATCCAGAATAGTCAGGAACAATCTTGAAAATTAGCAAAACAGGACTCATGCTTCTAAATTTCAAAACTTACTACAAAGCTACAGTAACCAAAATTTTGTGGTAGTGGCATAAGGATAGACCCATAGATCAACAGAATTGAATTGAAAGTCCAGGCATAAACCCTCACATTTAGGATCAAATCATTCTTGACAAGAGTGCCAACACCATTCAATGGTGGAAAATGGTCTCTTCCAGAAATAATGCTGGGACAACTGGATCGCCACATGCAAAAGGATGAATTTGGACTCCAGCTTCATACCAAATACAAAAATCAACTTAAAATGAATCAAGAACCTAAAAGAGATCAAGAGCTAAAACTATAAAATGTTAGAACCATAAGTATAAATCATTAACATGAGTTTCAAGTTAAAGCTAAGTGAAATTTGTTAGAAAGGAAGAAACAAATGAAAAATAAAGAGAAAAACAATTTTAAAATCATTAACAAATAATAATAAACAGCTTCTACTTATTAAGCATCTACTTCATGCCAATCATCCTATCAGGTTCTTTATATGTTTTCTCACTTTCAAAGATGTTTTCCACTTCACCCTTTCTCACCATCTCTGTTTCCCACTCACCTAAGACTATAGACCTGTCTTAAACATATGGTTTTAAGCTGGGTGCCATGGTTCATGCCTATAATCCCAGCACTTTGGGAAGTGGAGGCTAGAGGATTGCCTGAGCTCAGGGGTTTGAGACCAGCCTGTGCACCTTGGTGAGACCTCGTCTCTACAATAAATCAAAAAATTAGTCAGGCGTAGTGGCTCATGCCTATGGTTCCAGCTACTTGGAAGGCTGAGGCAGAAGGATGGCCTAAGCCCAGCAGGTCAAGGCTGCGGTGGCCATGAGCAGCATGCCTCTGCATTCCAGCCTGGGTGACAGAGAGAGACTCCAACTAAAAAAAAGAAAAAGAAAAAAAAAAAAAAA